CAAACATGGTGATTCAAATATGAAATAATTAATTGTGCTAATATTTCAAGATAAATTAATATAAACTTGTTTGAAACGGGACAACCGACAACAAACTTACAATAAAAAAGTTTTCAGTTGCTCTAATTTCGGTACAAATTTTATAAAATATATAAAAGTTTAGAATAAAAATGGATAAAACTGGTACTTACGAGTACATGGAAAAGTAAAAAAGGCTGTAAGGTACGTGTTATAGACTGTGGCCTGTGGCAGAACGTGACTTAACCTGTTTCGGAGATTGTTTATAGGAACTTTTTTTATAAAGGCGTCAGCGTTATAATTTTATTGGTCAATATTAATAAAATTTATATATTATTCAAATACATTTATGCGGAGATAACAGTTAAAAATAAAGATAACCAACAACAAGGGTCGTTTTGAATCTGTCAATACGTTTTTGATCTAAGTAAGTGTTGTTGCTTTCTTGCTTGCTTTGGTTTATGTATATGTACGATGTTTGCCACAAACTTTAATTTGACAATTTAGTTAATATTTACATACAGGGTGATTCAAAATTCGCGTCATTCCTCTATTTGTACATTGTTGTTCGTATTATTGGCGCTTATCGGTGGACTTACAGGGCTGTTTTGACTATTAAAATATTATATCAGTGAACAAGCCAAAGTTATCTAACCAGTTTTGTTCTTCTACTTCGAAACATTCTTTAGCAGCGGAAGACTGCCAGACTTGTCGAGGATTGGTGGCAATGTTAAAGGCAAGGTTGTGCAAACATTGACGTTTCTGGATAAAAGTTCAGATTTTAATAGGGATATTGTTTGCTATTGATGTCTTTTCGCATAGATTGTCCGAGTTATGTCAGCCGCAAAACCATTAGCTATTTACATACCATCAATATCAACTTAATTAAAAACAGATTAGATTCGAGCTAGAGAATTAAAGACATTAGTGTTATCCATAGAGAGATGATTTAAAGGGCAGCCGTAGCCACTGTCAATTAGTTGAGTTTAAGCAATTTCCGTCAAAGTACACATACATGGGGTGCTCTATTGCTGTATTTAACATTTGTCTCTAAATTTCAAATTAGAGGCAAAAACGGGGTGGCTAAAGTTTAATCCAACATTATTGTACATTCTACAAATACAAATTCTTAGGCGCTGGTCAGAAGTGAAATATAACTTAAACAAGTCATTTTTTTTTTAATTTTTATTTTCTTATATTGATATTGAATTAAGTAGGGAGCAACAAACGATATCAATTTATAACAACGAAACTCATATCTTCTCCGCGAAATAAAATACATGTTTTCTTATTCACGATTTAAGATAAATTTTCTTTCACGTTACTAAGAAAATCTCATGAATATTTTTTTTGTGTTGTAGGAAATACCAAAACTAGCTTGAAGGTACTGGTTCTGAAGGCCTTACCAGACGTCGCGAGTGCAAAAACGCTGCTTTACATCAACTGGCATCCAGCAGCATAAACCTATCATCAAGATATCCATAAACCAGTTCGGCAAAATGAATATTATTGATATACGAATATCGCCGCTTTTGTCCATTGTAGATAGTCCAGATTTAGTTGTTTTTTTGTTAAGACGAGGAGCTGATATTAAGATCCGAAATAACCTCGGGGAGACATTATTGCATCTGGCCGTTCAAGCTAGAAATACGGAACTTGTAAACTTTTATCTTGAGTTCGGATTGTCTGCAAATGACAAAACACTACGTGGAGATACGCCATTGACGTTGGCAGTCCAAAGCGGATTCGTCGAAATTATGGATATCCTTATAGAGTACGGTGCTGATTACAAGATAATGAACCCTATTGATCAAAATCTAGTTCATTTGGCAGTGGCAAAAAACCAAAGAGAAGCATGCAGGCGGTTGGTCAGTCTCGATATCAATCTTAACCAACAGGACCGGAACGGAATATCTCCATTACACTCAGCAGCGGAAAGAAACTACTGTGATATAATTAAAATCCTGATCGAAAACAACGCCCATATTGACCTACGAAACTATGACAATGCTACTCCTTTGCATATGGCAGCTGATAGGAAAGAATGTGGAGACGCAGTTGCAGTATTGTTAGAGCAAGGCGCTGCAGTTGATTTGGTGACTTATAATGGGGACCTCCCTCTGCATACAGCAGCAGCATCTGGAAACGAGCAGGCAGTAAGGCTGCTCTATCGAAAAAATTTTCGAATTCGGAAAAACCGATGTGGACTCACACCTTTAATGATGGCCGAAGCCTTCGCAAAACGGTCAGTGGTGTGCTTACTTAAAGAGATGGAAATGTGTTAAAGGATCAGTGCAACCAGTGCCTTATCTGCTGCTAAAGCTGATTAAGACTGTAACTATTACTTAAGAGCGTTTTATTAAATTGTTAAATGTGTAATTGAATTACGTTTCAATGTTCAGAAAAGGTATAAACTCCTAGGTGCATGTGAATCGTTGGCAAATTTTTAGCAGCGGTCAGCTTTAGAGCAATGTAAATCTATGTCTGCCGCTTTCTGAAGAGGTCTTCCAGTTGTAGATGTCTAGTGTGTAATTTTGTGCAATCGAGACGGTTTCTTGTCTCCTATGCAAGCAAATTATATTTTGGATTATTTGATAATATGACCAAAGTACTCGGTATTTCTCTACTTGATTGTCTCCGGAGGCGCCCTCTCCTCGCCGTAGTTTATTTCATTAGCAAGTATACCCTTCATTGTGGTGTCATTTTAAATTCTATAAAAATATAATTTTTCCTACCCAAGCAATCTTCATTTCTTGATTCTTCCCTTCTTTTAACAATCTCCACTTGGGGATTGTTCGCACCCTTGCCTCATATAAGAGACGCCGAGGACTGGGGGCCATTGGTTGGTTTTGTACCATCATGACGTTATCAGCAATGCTAGTAGATTGTATTTAATTCCGAAAATGTCTTGAATATTGTGATTTATTGTTACATATTTACTTGTTTAATGTTTACTGTATTGCAATTATATGATGTACTTAATTCTGCAATTCTAAAGTCAGTTTTATTAGACTATAGGGAGTGTCGATTGTAGTTTTGCTTGTTTGCCGGAAACTGTTTTGTTGTTCCTTTATAGACTAATTGCAAAATATATTTTAAATAAATCTTTATAAACTTTCAAATTGATTGATTCAACCTGAGAAGCAATCAGGCTGAAGAGGACACCGGAGGTACAGAAAAATCGAACTTTTGCTGCTCTTTCTTCGGCGAAACGGTAGGTACCTCGGTTAGGGTATATGGTTAGGGTTCCGTCGGTGTTGTTGAGGTTGGAAAATATGTTCGAAGGTCAGGAAGTTGTAGAGATGACACAAACCAGTATTTTTCAGTCACAGATTCCATGTGTGACTGTTCCAAGTATCTGTGATTTTTTGTCAAATGCTATTTTGGCCCAAGATAAATATTGGTTTGTACCTGAAACCGGGCTGAAGCGTATTTTGGGTCCAGGTGGATTAGACTTTAAAAGACCTGTTTCGGGCACTAAAAATATGAAGGTAAAAGATTACTGGAAGTTAGAATATTGAGACAATAGTTTGTGCTCGATTTCCGGCTGTTGAACATTGTTTATAAATAATTAAAGAAAGTGCAAAAGCCCGTTTTTGCTCATAACTGTTGAACCGTTGATGCTATTGAAAACAGTTTTATCCTTTTTTTCAATTACTAAAAATATCTATGATATCAGATAAACTACATTAAAATCAGTTCATTAGTTTACTCAAAAATCTTTAAAAAAACCGTCGATTTCAGCGTTCTGTTAATTTTCTATAATTAATTTAGTTTTGTTTCAAGAAAATCGTACCATTACTTTTCGGTCAGTCAGTAATGATATTTTCATTTATTGCACTTTGTAGTATAACTCTTTACGAGTAAAATACAGCCTCAGAGAAGTCCCTCCGACGTCTCAAAAAAAATGTATTTAGAATCTGGCAAGAGCCCTTTTTACATAACAAATAGGAATGAACAAAAAATTATGAATATTATGAATATAAATTGTGCTGTGTGTCGAAGTTAAAAGCCATTTCATATCAAGTCAAAACACACACAGTTGTATCTCCACGTGCCCATTGATCTAACTTTTCGGTTGGGAAGTTTCTCTTCTCAATCGAACTCATTAGCTCGACTGAGGATCCTCCAAATAATTCCCTATGTTGACCTAAGTATTTAAATCGTCGCTTAATTTATTTAAAATTTACTCCGACTGCTCGGACTTTCTTCGAAACTATAGATAGAGGCATAGTTTCCAAGCAGAATTCACTACAAAGGTACAAGCTGTGAAAGAGCGAGAGAAAGCGATAAAATGAGGTAAATCGTGTCTAATAATTATATTATTCAAATATAATAAATTATTTGAATCTCATACAGATATTTTCTGCTAAAATATGTTAAGACTCTTGTTGCAATTTTGGAAAGAAGGCATGACCGAATTATGAAAATCTCATCAAGAAGAACAATGAACAACTCTTTAAAGCAAGCAACTATTTAAAGTTACTAAATAATAATTGTGTGAAATTTGTGGAATAAATGTGTTTCATATTTTGAAGAAATTTTTATATCACAGGTACATTTATGCTTCTTCGAGTTAAATTCTCATACATGGTAAATTTGCTTTGTTCTATTTCCAGTACCTTTCAATTTAAATGAGCAGTCTATTAATATACTTATACTTCTTCATACACTAAATATGTACATTTAATAAAAAAATAATAAATCGGCGAAATATGTTACAAAAACATATGTCGTCGGATTGACTTTATGAGGCGAGATATTTTAGAAAGAGATTTACCATTTTTTTTTAGATCATCCCGAGAGATTTTAGGTAAATAGCGCCTATACAAATTTAAATGTAGTTCGTCCACTACTCCACTGGGCAGATACAACAAATGCTATTTTATTTCAGAAGCCCTGCTATTGGTCGAACAAGATCAAGTTCCTAGGACAAGAAACAGCTCAGAATTCCGAAAAAACAGTCAGGCCTGGTCACATTAAAGAAAATATCGGAGACGGCTGTTACTGCTGTTCTGCCTGATCTTTTCAGTTCATTGAATATTGCTATTTGCCGAATCATGGGTGCATGGATTCGAAAATAATCAGGTCTATACATACAAAACTTTATCACTTCATGAGAATAAAATATATCATTTCACTAAAACTCAGGCCAATTGACCAGCATCGTAGGCGAGCCCTGTTATTTCAAACACATGTTATTTTAAAGATCGATAACAGGTATCGACTGTTCCATATCGATATCTGTTCCAAAATACCTGTGCAAGTATTTCGTGTCATCCCTAGGCAGTTGAATCAGAAACCAGTTGTATGCAAAACTGCCGTCGAAGTACAGTACACACATGGTTGCTAGATTTTTCATAATAAGTTGAACCAGAGGTAAAACTTTATCCACGTGCGTGAAACAGCCCAGATAGTTTACTGTGTTCGGTTACAAAAGTTGCTGAATTGAATTTGTGCATGTCGGTTGTCGAAAAGAAGCTGATATACGGTATGTATTAAAGTTTATTGATTGAACTTTGGCCACTCTTTTTTACATCTAATTTAAAATTTTCGAAAAAATGTTGAAAACGAAAGTTGTTATTAGTAGATATTATTATAACCTATATTTTATTTTAAGATAATATCAATTGGTACAGGGTGTAGTAATACACGTGGCAGACAAAAGTTACGTTTTTTTAAATGGAATGTTGTACTTTTAATTGCATATTCGAACTGCGCGTGAAATTCTAAGCCTATTCGGTATAACTCTTTTAATAGATTTTCAACTGTTTTCGACATAATAAGCAATATTGATTGAACTTTGGCCACCACGTTTTAACATAAACTTTCAAATTTGGGCAAAAATATTCCTACATACACGGAAGTTGTAGATTTTTACGTCTCAATTATTTTAA